GGAAGCACCATGGCTGCGAGGCTGCCTCTGTCTCCACAGTGCAGCTCCCCACGGAAATCTGCATCGCTGGCCGTGGAGCTCGGAAGCACAGGTAGTTCCCTTGGCCCTCTCTGCCAGTGAAAATGAATTATTCTCTTGGTCAAAAAATGATCGACAAGTAATATCACATTGGAAAGAGAGGCACGAGATTTAATATTACAGAGAAATCAGTTGTTGTGATGGTGGTTTGTTTATTTGCTTGTTTTTTGGTCAAAAGTCAGCCTCATTTCCCACTGTAAGAATCAAACTGCTGTTTTAGGTATTTCAAATTTTGTCAGGACTGTGGCAGTTTTCTTTATTTCTTAGTTAATAGCATATGCTGCTTTCTCAGAGATCTAAGAAATAGTTTTGAAAACTGATGGCATGGTTGGACCACTATGGATGTTTCCTAGGGCAACGTTGCACATCCTGTTAGGAAATCGTTGATTATTGACTGGTGTTCAGCGTAAAGTTGGATGACTAATAGTAACAGTTATCACAGAATGAAATGTCTAGATATATCCGTATATCACGTACAGAGCAAACTGCAGCTGAAACATAGGAATGAGCAAAGGTATTTGGGCTTTGTACAAGTAGAGGCGAGTGAGAGTCCTTCCCCTCGCCCAGGGATCTCCAATCATCCCTAATGCTTTTGAACATGTGTTTTATCTTCTCTTTCTCTCCCCCTGCTCCCTTTTCTTTAAGTCTTTTTTTTTTTTTTTTTTTCGCTGTGTAGGTAATTTACATATTAATCCCCCTGGGTAGAAAATAAATGAACCCATTAGGTTCTATCATCTCTCTATGTGTAGATATAATGAATTAATCAAATCACTGATCTGTAAAGTAAAAACAGATTTACTTTCATTATTAAAATATTGTAAAATAACTATTACTCTTTGTGGCATTTTCTGGAGAAAAAAAGTAATTTCCGAGGTATGACATACGAGAGACACTCAAATATTGCTAAAATGTGCTATACAAGAGTAATACTTTGCCATGGATAAGAGTAAAAAGTGATTATTCTTTCTTTTACATACAAGTATGCTGCTTCTGTACTTGGGTCATCTAATTCCTTGAGTCCCTGAAGCCAAAATTGTTACTCTTACATTTAATATTGTGCCTGCAAGTTGTCTCATTGACTTCATTTTAAAAAAAAAAAGAAAAAAAAAAAGAAATCGATCTTAAGCATAGGCTTAAGTCTGTCGTTAATGCAGAGAATGTTTTTGCCTATATGTCAATTTTAATATGATTTTTAATCACATTAATTCAAAAAGAGATAGGTAATTAAGATGTCCTGCTACAATATGGTTGGTTTTGATAGAATTGTCTGTGTTTGTAGGACAGCTTCGTAGTATGGTAGAAGTATGGAAATGGTGCCGGCTATAGAGATTTAAGACAGAAAACTTTCTCCCCCTGCAGCAGAAACATCCTTTGTATTTTTGCATTTTTGATGCAATTGCAAACATTGACTTTTTCTAAGAGATAGGAAATTAGAGGTTGGTTGGAAAAATTGTTGTTAAAAAATTACCTGATACTGGATTCAGCATTAATTGTTGAGAGATTATGGAAGTTCCTTTACTGTTTGAGAAATCTGGGAAAATAATGCATTTATTTTATAGTATATAACTATATATTTTTGTTGCTTGTAATACATAAGTGAAAAAAAATGGTGCAGAAGCTTCAGTTTGCAGACAAACCACTTTGCAGAGACTTTGTAAGACAAGGAAAACTCTCATTTTGCAATGTGTTCCGTGAGCCCCTGTCTCAGGCTGGTCCTGGCAGGGTGTGCTCTGCTTTCAGGCATCACCACCGAGATGCGGGCTCGTCTGCAGGGCAAATTCATGGCTGTAGGAAGAGTCAGTCCCCTGACCACAGGCCACAATGCTGCAGTGAATTGTACAAAGCCAAAAGAGCCCTTGGAAGACTCTAGGTATGCTCCAGTGCTACTGTGAGGAGAAGGGGAGGAAGAGATGGAGTTACCAACAAAATACTGAGTTTATAAAGCWGTAATTACAGTATCTCTGCTCTGTGTGAGAACTGTCACTGGCAGTTCCTCRTGAAGAAGCTCGGCCCCCTTAATCTAGTTAGCAAGAGCAGTGGGCAGTGGCACAGCACGTGGCTGTCTGGGGCATGCGCTGCGCCGTGAGGAACGGCGTGGAGGTGTCGGAGAAGGGAGAGCTGTGGGGCAGCTCCTTGGGCTCAGTGCCTGGCACGGTTTTATGAAGAAAAGAGGTAAGAATGAGCCTGTGCTCGTCAGCAGCTCATGAGATGTGAAGAATGTATGAAGCCAATTTACAAGAATAGATTTTATTCTGCACTGGGAGTATGATCTTTGGGTAGGAAAAAGGCTCAGAGTTGCATGATTGCATTTGAAGCCATTCATATGCAACAAGCTGAAGAAAAAATTGCTACTTTGTGTTCAGATGAAAAGTTTTCATCACATTTAAATTGAAGAAGAAGCTGTCAATTGTTATTATTGGCAAAGATGAACACCTATTATAGTCATGGCTGTTAAAGCTTATATGATATAAATCCTTGTACATTATCTTACAGTAATTACATGGCACAAATCTGCTCAGTACCAGCCTAACCTTATGATTAGTGTTCAAAATACAATAATACTGAAGTATGTAATTACTTTACATTCTCCTCTTTAATAGGAATTTAAATCCTGAAATCATATGATTCCAAGTGTTTGGTTATATCCACCAGCCTAGTTGGTTGCAAGGCAACAATACTGTCACACTGACATAGGCAGCAATTGCTTCTGTGGATTTGAGTTTGAGTTTTTCTTTAATAGTATTTTCCAAGGGTGCTGTAATGGGGCACGTGGGGCAAAGGGGCAGTGGGTGCTGCTTTTCCCAGGCGAGGGCCATGCTGCAGCATCGCCCTGTGTTCACCTCCCTGCTTGAAGTCCCAGTCACTGCCACGGGGCTTCAGAAAGCAAGTACAGTGGAAYAGAGTAAATTTTAATTCCATTTGTCTTTAGGCTCAAATTTGAAGTTAGGTTGTAGTGTATTGATCTGTGGAATTCTTTTATTCTCATTTTGTTTAACTTCTTTCTGAACAGATTACAGAATATAGCTTCTGTTGGCTATATAAACGAGAAAAAAAAAGGCTGTGTGCACATGCACTGATGTATTTATTACCAYGGAAATCATTTCTTTGCCAAACAGACCAGCAAAACCAAAAAATATACTGGGAGAGCAATAAAAAGAAAAATATAGATGGAAGTGAGGTTTCATTTGTTTGCCAGGCAACTGTAAGCCTGAGGCGTGCTGCACCATTTAGCTTGGCAGGAGGTTTCTAATCCTGCAATGCATGGCTTGTCTGAGAGTGCAGTGATCTCTGCTGGTTCTTGCCCTCTCAAGCTGCGGGAAGACCCCGGCGTGTGCCRGGCGCGGTGACCCCCGGCTGGGCGCTGCGCCGCTGACCTTCCCTGGCATTCACCCGTGCCTGCCTTTGTGCCACACTCTCAGGAGAGGCTGCTCCCTTGCACGAATAAAGGTGAAATTGCTGACATCATGCTGCTGCTTGGGTTATAGATCCATTGATTTTTTTTTTTTCTGATTTTTTTTCAGGCTGTAAGAGAGTTACCTCAAGTCTGAAAGACGATAGGTGATAGAATAGTTAAATGCAATGAATTGAAGCAGCATTTCCCAGTGTARTTGGTGAAGAGGTGTTCCTTTAGCATCTTTATTGGGAAAATAAATATTTGTTTCAGAGCTTGCTGTTGTACTGTGCAAAGAAAATCATTTAAAATAAGGCATGACTTCTGAAGGGGTATTGTCTCAAATCATAGGGGCTGATTTGACTTGTTTGCACATAAAAAAAATTGAAAACTTGATAGTGAAAATCCCTGCACTGTGGCAGGTGTGGTTATATTCCAGAAGGTAAGGAACTGTATGATTTTAGAGTACAGTATGAATTCTTCTTGTAGTCCCCTTCTAACCCTCCCTCTCCACTGCCCATTAGTGAGGCTTTGAGTAAGCTTTTTCTTAATGTTAATATAAATTTAAGTACAGTTGTATATTTCTGGAAAAAAAGTCACAAAACCAAAGAAACTGCTTCTATCTAGTTAGTGAGGTGCTAAAGAGAATGAATATGAGTAAGATCCTAGGACTTTACATACTCATAGATGTCATGCAGTTTCCTTCAGAGAACAGAAGTTTATGTACTCAAAACAAAATAAGCCTCAAAACAGGAGCTTCAGGTGTCCTCATGAAATTTCACTGTCGTTGGATTGTTTCTTTTCCGTGCTTTGAATATTGGAGTTGTGTTGTATGTTGCCTTACAGTACTGAAAACAATGTGTGGCTGCACTGAACAACATATATAACAAAACAGATCTCACAAATCTAAGCAGGGGACCTTCCCCCTTTAGAATGTCTAATCCAAGAATCGGATGAATAGCAGTGACTTACAATTGCCTCTTAGAAGTTTTGCTCTCTGAGTATATCTATACCTGCATGAAATCAAATAAAGAGGAAAGCATAAAATACAAGAAAGAGGTGGTGTGTGACCCACATGGCGAGATGAGACTGCACTCTTGGCAGGGGACTGGAGAGGTTAATTATAAAATTACCATGGCATCAAGCTCAGTCTAAAACCATCCACACAATGTAATTTATCTGTGTTCTTTATGAGTATATATCTAATCCACACTTACTGCTTATAATACTTTTTAATATTTATCTCTGTTTTACAGATATTTTACTTATTTTACAGATATTTTACTTATTTTACTTTATTTTACTATAAAAGCTCACAGTTAGTAGCAGAGTGATTTACTTGTAAGGTGCAGTTGATAAGATAAGAAGTACAGCTAATTTCCTTCCTTTCTGTAGTCATCCCTTGTGGATAGATGCGTACCGATGTGTTGTGTATTGCAGAGAATGCAAGCAGCATATTTGTTGTTCATGTTTTGGGAGCTCCTGTAAAGTATGAGCTAGGCCTCAGCTTTTTACTTGTCCCCTTTTCTAGGATTTGATGCCTATTTTACCTCACGTACCCTCGAGAACAACAGAAGGAACGTGTGGTTTGCAGAGTACTGGGAGGAGAACTTCAACTGCAAGTTAACGATCAGTGGATCAAAAAAGGAAGACACAGATCGTAAATGCACAGGTAATTTCTTTCACTTTACYCTTCTCATGCTGCTCTACGTGACCTGCATAGCTGATGCAAGGAGTCTTGGTCAGAGACAGATTGAAAAAATAAATTGAATTTTGGTAGGTTGTTGAGAAAATGGAACAGCAGCACCAGCCTTGCAGGACAAGAGCAGTAGTTGGAGAGAGACAAAATTACGTTCTTGTATTTCTTTTTCTGTTTGTGCATCCAGCAGGAAAATCTGTGGGGAAAAAAGAGTATTTTTTTTCCCAGAAATWCTTTTATTTAAATATAGGGTGGCTGGAGGGTGGGTGAGGGATATCCTTGTTTAAATAAAAGTACAATTTTATAAATTTTATCTTGTGCTTTTGAACATCTGATTTTTAAAATTTAGTGGAAATACTCCCATCAGAATGTATTAGCACAGGATTAAATGTTTAATTTTAGATAAAATTGTTGATTAGATTTTTATTCTGATTTTATTTAAAAACTCAGAGCTAAATATATTCTTGCAGCTTCTGCAGAGCAATATAGAAAATCCAGTGTCTGCGTTTGTAGCTTAGATCTTTCATAGTGTTTTGTTTGAGCACCATTGTTTTCTGATGACTATCGGGTTTGCTCCTCTTTTCCTCTTATGAGCTACCTCTTAACATCCTAAAATTTGAAGTATAAAATTTTCCAGGCAGTTCTGTTTCTAATGACAAGCAGATTCAAGGAATTTGTTTTAGTWAGGACACCGCTAACATGACCATGGAATTGATTTGGAGCTTCTCTTTTTCTTCAGGATAGCACGTTTTTTAAACTAGCTGACAATGTTACACTTCTGCTGAACTCAGTSTGGATAATAATTTTCTGTGAGATTCGTAAAGCAAATTAGGAATTCTTGCATGGTGTACCTGCAGATACTACCAGGTTATCTGGCTATGCTGAGAAGTCAGTGCTAATGGCATATGAAATATACCCAGGGATGTCTCAGTTAAGAATCTGGCTGAAAATTTTTCATTGAAACAACTGGATTTTCATGAATGTTTTGGTTTAATATGGCTGCAGCAATGTTAGGTTTTTAAAGAATTATGAAATGAGTAGCACCACTGTCCTTGTAATGCAGCATGATATAGTTCATTGGACTCAAGTATCAGTTTTGAAAAGAGATGACCTCTTCCTATGCTGCTTGGGCATGTACCTGCTATCAAACGGTTAGTAGAAACAGCAGAATAAGGAGTCAAACCAAGGGGATCTTGTCCATAGAAATATTTCTAAAACTCAAAAATTTGGGGAGTCTGTCCTCAGACTGCTTACTCTGTATCAAGCATTGATTTGAAGTGTAACCACTGTTAGTATGTTGAAATGGAATATTTTCTCAGAGTTTAAAATGTRGTATATGATTTTCAGACATAAAGTTTAACCCTGTTTTTGCCAATAATTTCATTCATTTTAAAGTTGCAAGTCTGGAAGTAAAAAAAGCAGCTTGCTATACTAATAAGAAAGAGACTGATTGATGCATGATGAGATGGCTCAATTAGTTCGAGTTGTGCATTTACAAAAACACTCCTACATTTCCCAGAGGGCTCCCCAAGCTTTATAATTACTTTCCTTAGAAATAGGCAAGCAGTTTCCTGTCTCCATGATCTGAATAGAGCTTGCCTTGACATTAAAAATAGCCAACAATATTACAGACTTTTCACAGGTTTTCCTTAGGGTTTACTGTAGACTTACCAGTCATATTAGTTATCTCCTGTATAAAATAAAGCCATTTTATTATTAAGTCATAAAATATCACAGTCCCTCCCCTCTTCATAGCAATAGTGTTGAATAATGGTGTTCCATTTTGATCAAAGGAAATGAGTTTATAGCACGATATATTTTGCTTTGGTTGAAACTTGATCAATAACTTCATTTGTTTTTTTACCTTGGCTGCTTTTGGTTTCAATTCATGGAGGGCAGTGGGAGTTCTCTGCATAGGAGCAGTGCAGGTACCGGTAGGAATATGTTACCAGTAAGTGCAGCATTTGGAGAACCCCATCTGAAGGTTGGAATTTGACTAGCAGTCATTAAAATACCTTCAAGATAATTGCAGAAAGTGCTACTGTTTATCTTATTTATCTTATTATAGAAGAGGGTGAATCCCTTGCAGTCTGTGCCTTCTGATGTGCATGCTAAGGTGGCATTCTGCCTTCCCTCAGCATAGCTGCAGCAAGTACTTGTTTTTGGATGGCTAGCCATTGAACTGGAGCATCACATTATAGCTAGACACTGCACCAAGTGACTTGCAGTGGCCTCGGACATCCCTCTACTCTTGTACAAACTGAAGTAAATTGTGCATCAGAAAAAGCATTAATGTTGAATTATATTGCCAGTATGAGATTCTTAATGTCCCACTGATGTAATAATATTATGAACGATCATCATCACTCTTTTTAAAATTTGATTGATAATTTGTAGTGCAGTGAGGTACTGGGCTATGGGCCATCAGTTTGACAGGAGTGGAGTTTGCAGAGTGCACGTGTGAGACGGGAAGCTCCTCCTCAGCTGAAGCTGTTGCACTTAATGATTCCCTGTTCACTGGGAAGTTAGAATAAAACTGAAAACATACTATTTTTCTATTAAATTCTGTAAGTTGTTAGGGAGGAAGYGAGCACTGACTTTGGTAATTCATATCAAAGAAGTCAAGTGGCTTCAGATTTGTATTTCCTGAGCCTGTGTGTGTGGTTTACGACTATGAATATTAGACATACTTGTAACAACTTACATCTGTTTAGCACATATTTTCAGAAAAGCTGTTTGAATTACATGTGTCTTAGTAAAAATGTTTTTATAGAAAAGAAGTAACATAAAGTAATTTTCTTTCTATTAGAGGAATAATATTACAGTTAATAGTTGTGATTCTGCGGAGAACCGTGCTATCTGAACTCCCCCCTTGCACAGTATTCCTCACAGAAATGAGCCTGTGTTTTGATTATGAGCTTGACAGAAGCTTTTGCATTAAACTAACCCACATGCTACTAATATTCTCGGTGCTTTGAGATTTATTGATGGAGTTGGAATTAGGAGATAATAAAACTTTTTTTTTCTTCATGTAAATATGTTACACACTGGAATGACCACAATTTTCAGAGATGGTTGAAATCAAATGTGCACTGCAGAATCGGTAGCGCTCCCTGGCACCCAAGCGTCTCTGTGCAGGCTGCGCTGCTGAGCTCCAGCCTGCCTGGCTGGTGACAGACCTTGGTGGGGGGCCACTCCAGCGCTATCTGCAGGTGGTGGCTGCCTCGTCCTGCACTGTCTGCTCAGCTAGAAGTGAAGCCCAAAATACCCKTGCTGGCCAAATGCAGTAACGCACAGCAGATTGGATAGCTTCAGGTGCATCTTGAACTGTTCTGAACTCAGCAGGAAATAAAAACATATAGCAATTRTGGGATACTTTACATAAACAGGCAGCTAGTTTCCTCACTTAACTCTGGATAGTGGTGATGAGCTTTTTATTTGCCTTCTGTAGATATGCTGGAGTTCGTTTTACTGAGAAAGCTCGTGGACATGGTTAATATTCTTTGTATCTAAATCTRTAAACACATTGGTCTGTATGATATTTATCACCAGTGGAAGTTATAATAGCAGTGTGTTTATATGTGAATATAAGTATTTCCTTCTGCATCARAAGCACCTGTGCTCATGAGTGGCATAAGGAGTGTTCCCTAAAGAGAAATGCAGTTACTCGACTGCACGGAGGTATCCACTATTCAGGGAAAGACCATGCACACAGAAGGCAGTCCACAGCAATGCAGGACTGAGTGAAAAGCAAATTGCAGCACTTGACTGTCTTCACTTGTTAAATGTAGTTTTTAATTCAAATAGTTTTACACATGAGGAGACTTAATGAAGTGATAGAAGTGTGATGTCACCTTGGATGTCATCTATCAGAATGTAGATTACTCAGAGCTTCTCTAATTATCTGCCAATGTAATCAGTCTGAAGATGATGGCTCAAGCAATGACTTACTCCAAAGAAAATGTTGGGGAAAAGCACCTGACAAGCAGAAGTAAAAGAAATTTAGCAAAGGGGCTTGCAAGACAGAATGTTGTGCTTAGAATTTAAATCGGAGTAGGAAAAAGTTGCAAAGACACAGATTTACTTTTGTGCGTAGTRTATTGGCTTTTGAGGAGTGTAGGTAGGAAGGGCGTGAGGACTCCTGTGTGTTTGGTTTGCTCGTGCGTACTGCATTGATAAATGTCTCTTAATGGCCTGGTTTAATTAAATTCATGTGCTGCACAAATAGGGAGGTGAACTTGCAAATTAGACTGTGCTGTGGGATCTGAGTGTGGGGCCTTTGGCTCAAAGACCATGGCCATGTTCATGTGGAAAAGTAACAGAAAAAGATGGAGTAAGGTGTAGGGACAAGGTGACGTGACCTACTCTGCCAGCAGCCTGGTTACTGGGCAAAGCTCAGGAAACCTGAATCAGTTTTCAAGTGTAAGGAGCGCCGATAAAAACCATTCTGAGGCCTGAATTTATTTCTTTTAACTGCAGATCCTAGCATAGTGATTCAAATTACCTTAAAAGAAGCACCTCTTGGTCTGCTTTGGCTACCTAAGGTGTCTCACGCTTAGTTTAAATCCGATATGTGGCCATGAGGCAGCAGCAGATAGACGAGCACTCTGGGTTACAGAGCGAGGCCTTTTCCCACACGTGCACATGCACTTCTGAACAACTAGTGCTCCCAAGTGTGTCGAAAGCTGAACGCAAGATTCACACGTGTCCTGCCTGTATCCCAGTGCGCTGCAGAGAGAACTGTTATATGTGGAGGGAAGAAAAGGTCAGATTTCCATCCAAAAAAGAAAAGGAGCAAGCAGTAGTTGTCATACATATTTATATTTGACAGGGAGGTTGTGTGCAACGTGTCATGCATCTGTCAGCGTTTCCTGTAACTGATTTAGTGTGAGAGAGGATTTACCCCTTGAAAAGAAAGATGCAATATGTAGCGCTCAGGGCTACACTTGGTCTGGATTTTCTCAAAATAAATG